TAATCATGTATTAGTAGGTTGTAGAATAAATTAACTTTGTGTAGTAGCTTGTGAAATAAGCTAATTATGTGGCGCATACATAGATAACTTACCTTACAAATTAAGACACATGGATAAAAAAATCAACACATGTTAGAGATCTTATAGAATATCGCCATGTAGCTCCTACTTAGAAAGAATATATGGAGGCAAGAATGAAGCCTTTTTCATTCTTGTCAACGCTGTCGTGTTGTAAAAATATATATGGTATAAAAAATATAAAATAATGTGTTGAAATAAAAGAATCAAGATTAGAAGAAGAAAGAAAGAAGAAAGAAAAGAATTGTGGTTATAACCACAATATCTTGGATTTTTACTGCATCTTGTTACAAGCTCAGGGATGATAGGTAGGCCGAACTGCTAATTTCCTGCTTAAACTCCCATTAGCAGTACCAAGTCATGAAGCCATGGCTTTCTATAGTGAAGTCAAGTGGGTTTGGACCCGCGTCAGCTTCAAAATAGCTAACAACTTATACCACATAAGCTTCTCTGACTTGGTAGTGTAAGTTGTAGTTCCCTTTCTTTTATCCTTAATCTAGTCTAAACTGCTTTATTCTACTTATTAGATTTTCTTCTATGAAGTTTAGATCTAATTTACTTATGTTTTTCTTCTACATTAGGTCTGAACCTAATGGTTGTGGGCTGAAATTAGAAGAGAAGTATAGTAGAAAGTAGATAGTAAAAATGTAGAATGAAAATCTATTTTTAAAATTGGATTTTTCCAAGTTAGTCAAAGGGATAAGGATGAAGAGGTGGAAAGATATGGGATAAGGTTCCTTTTGACCAAAAAGGAAGGAAGACTTGGAGGAAATCACGAAAAATGGACAAAACTCAAGATATAAAGAAGAGGAAGAAGAGCAGAGGAGGGAAGAAGGAGGATTTCAGTAGAACATTTTTGTGTGTAGAATGAGTTAGGAGAGGATTTTGAATGCGAGTATTTGTGGGTTTGTAGTAGACAAAGTGAAAAACAATTAGAGACAAATCTCATGTGATTTGATTAAGTATCAAGGGAGATATGGGTCGTCGAAGTTGCGGGTGTCTAAGACTAGGGCAGTGAGGATTAGTGAATTTCGGGGCCTTGGTTCTTAGTGACCACTTGGACTTTTAAGGCGAAATTTGTTGGGTTTTGTTTCTAATAAAGTTAAGAATACTGTATCCAAATCTCAAGTCCATACAACCTGTGAGCTAGGAGATACGAAGAAATGAGAGAGAAGGGGTGCAGAATTTATAGCTGCAGGGGGGGGGGGAACTTTGAAAGCTTGGTTCTCTTAGAGTACTTAACCTTTTTCAAAATTTCTTTTTGGGTTTGATTTCTTATCTTGTCTACTCTAACATATCCAAAACTGACTTTCATATATACTCTAGTTTAGGAGTTAAGGGGAATAATAAATTCGGAATTTTGAAGGCAGTGGGAGGAAAGAATATGTAGTGGATTTTTAGGGTCTTTAGGGTCTGATTTTAGGATTTGGATATGTTAAACGACGTCAAACTCTTCCTTGGTCATTTAGTTGCAAAAATGACCTGGTGTTTTCTATAGCAAGACCTCTGAACACGACAATGCCTTTTTAGTTCTTAGTCTTGTTTCAAGACTTTTTAGTCTTCTTGTTTTTGGCAATAGCTATTCTAGTTCAATTTTATATCATCTTTGAGTGATTTTCTAATTTCTTTCAATGATACAAGAGTGTATTGAGGATTTTCTTTCTTCGAGATTTATGTCCTTCATAATTGAATGCCTTTAGCTTTGAAGTAAGAACCAAGCTTACTATTCAAGAATTTAGTACTTTGATCAATGAAAAAAAAAAAAAAAAATCTTTCTTCTAATTCTTTTTTATGCCTCTATTTTTCAAGTCTAATGAGTAATATGTATTTGGTCATTAGATTAAGGACATGCAACGCTACAATAGGTAGAATATTCATCAATGTAAATAATTAACCATTTTTTGCCACCAAAGCTAGTTATATTGGAATAATCAAGGTCAAATACTATTACATTTAAAATACCATTAGTATGCTTGTACATATATAAGAAAGGGCTTTAATAATAATTTATAATTTACATATAGTTTTTTTTTTCTTTAATATTATTCATTTATTTTGCCTTATGTATTATATGCATTGAAGCATATACTAATACTTAATGTCATTAAATAAGTATATAATATTGGAGTAGAGAGAATTTGCCTCAAGAAAGAGCTGGGCTTCTAGCTGCCACTAAATGCTCAATCAAGTCTAAGATATAAAAGTACCAAGTTTATATATATAATATTTTCTCTTTTAGGGCAATTATATCAATACATAAGCCCAAGTACCAAGAAAACATCCAAATGTATGATAAAGTATCTTAAAACCTTATATATCCTTATGAGAAATATTTTTCAAATTTCAACAACTCATATCTCACGATCGGACCATCCAAAAAACCTTAAATTTTACATGAAGTACTAATATACTTTCGAAAACCACCACAAAAAAATTCAATTGCAAATTTGATACAGATCTTGAGATATCACCAAAACCCTAAAAGTAGCTTTAAACCTTAGCTTATATACACCAATGTGCTATTTTCTTCATATCTCACAAAATAAGTACTCAAATACCATAAAACTTTAATCTGTAGCTTCTAAACCTAATAAGTCACACTTATGGAAATTTTGAGTCAAAAATTTGTCCAGAAACTCAAGATATGACTCCAACTATTATTATCAACAAAATGACTCACTTATTGCTTTTGAATTACATGTGCTGTCTTAAATGCCGTATAACTCCTTCATCCAGACTTGGAATTCATTAAACAATATATGTAAAGTATAGCGAAAAAAGTGTTTTCTCCAATTCCAGTTGCCGATCTTTCTTTTCTCTCTGTATGCATATATTATGCTTCAAAGAGTGACAATAGGTACAAATTTGACACCTTAATTTTGAACACCTATATCTCTTTCATAAAAACTCGAAATCACACAAACTCTTCACTCAAATTATACCCAAAATCCTGAACTTACTGACCTTAGTCTTCAAAGCTCAAATTACTTTGAAAAAAAAACCCTAATCCCTAATAAGGCCTCAAACAGCCTCCTTGAAGCCATTGGGCATGCCCTTCAATCAATAGGAATGAAGATCCTCATTCCTTGCCTTCATCCAACCATGCCTTGCTTTCATCCCTCCCAATATGCCTCCTACTAGTTAAAATTTTCTTCTTTAGGCTTTAATCTCGTGTCAAGGCTTCATACTAAACATTTAGGTACTATAATTTTTTTTGAAATGCTATAATTAAAAAAAATAAAATTCAAAATAAAGTTTCTGAAATCTACTCTCTTTAAATTAATTTATTAACCATCCTAACATACATCAAGACTTATGAACATATTATATGTTTTAACTAATTTTTACATACTATAAGCAATTACAGTATGACAACGATTCAAAATAGATAAACTAAAAATTATCACAACTTCTTTAATTTCACAAGGTATAAGGTTAGTTTTATCAGTTAGCATACCTTGTACAAGAAAGTCACTTAAAGGCAAAATCTAATTGAATCCATTGACATAAAAATTAAATTTACAACCTTTCTTGCATAAAGTTATAATTGATAATAGAGTATAGCATGTTCCAAAATCCAATGGACATCCTTAACAACCACAAGAATGCATTTTCTTACAGGATCTAAAATTATAAGATGCATCTCACTTGAGCCTTTTGATTAACAATGTCATGCACTATTTGCCTATTTTACCATCAGCTTTAATATATTGATTCCTAGGATTAAAAAAAAAAAAAAAAAAAAAAACTCTAAAAAAACTCTAAAAAAACTCTAAAAAAATCTGTAAAAAAAATTCTAAAAAAAATCTCTATAGATTCTCTATCCACGTATCAAAGATTATGTAATTTTTTTATTAAAAATATCTTAGTAATAACTCCTAATGACTTGTGGATTTTAGCCAATACATCTCACATATCTTTTGTAATATTGCATTTGTGTATATGAATTAATTGCAAAAGCTTAACATTTAGTACAATTAATGCTTGTGCTTTTGCTTCTTTTGATTCTCATTTTAATTTTTTGTCAATATCCCTAGGATATTCTAATGTTCCATCTACGTGCATGTAGAGCTTGTGGATGCACATCAAGTGCTTCATAACAAATGCCCATGTGTCATAGTTTTCTTCATCTAATTGATTAATGTGATGATCTATTGAAGAAGATGCCATTGCCAAATACAATCAATGCAATAGCAACAAATAACTTTAAAAAAACAATTAAAAAAATGTTCTATAAAAGGTAATATTTGGAAAGTAGTAATAGTATCAAGCTATATTTGAGCATAAGAAGCTTATTTTCATTGCCATCAACAAATAGAATTTAATTAAATAAATAAAAAAACAATATCAATGGCATTAAACTCCAACAGAAATGAAACTCTAGCAGCTCCAGCATTCCAATAGTGCTCCTTGGCTCCAGCACTGTGGCAGCACTCTTGCACTCCAGCAACACTCTAGCAATGCTCCAACAGCAACAAGGTTCCGGTAGCAAGTGGATCATCTAAAAGAAATATTCATCTAATTTTTTCATCCAAATTTTTGCCAAACGAATTTCATCTGCAGCCAAGGTTCTGAAACCATGTTACCAAAACCGAATGAATGTCACTTTGTTGCAAACTAGAATGTGGCAGAAACCAGAGAGACAGTAACTCTGAGATCTTTGTTATGTGCTGGGTAAGTCATAGCTTTTAGTACATAAAATATGAGATATTCAATATATATATATATATATATATATACATACAAACATAAATACAAACACAGGTTTAGGAAATAATATGTTGACTCTTACAAGTCTTGGCGCATGCACAGATTAAGGTGGTAGTATGCACGTCGAAGTATAACAATAATCCCTAAACGTCTGCCATGATCAACGAGTACTCATTTTCCTGTTGTAAGACCGAAGTTAGTGGTAAGCAGCAAAACTTTCGTACCCATTTTTATTGATTGCCACTGCCTAAACTCGGGCTTGGCCATAAATGCGATAGAGACATCAGCACAGCACTTTTAAGCTCATACAATCAGATTGAATCCCTATTCTCTATTTCACTTGGAATTGACTTTCCTGAAGGTGAGGGTTGACTTGCTGATGGATTTGACTCATTGTTGTACAGGATGGCTGAGTTTTTATAAGGCCCTCCTTCTACTCACTGATCAACTCAAGCTCTCGGCTTCTCGAACCACGGAGGCGCTCAGCGGCGGTGTTTTACGTGCCGTCCTCCACTTTGTAGCAATCTAGCAATGGAATCTACCGTCATCTGTACTAGTGCTCAACGTATAGGTTGTGAACCATGCTGTCTGTCAAGTTGTGAGTGTGTGTAACTGAAGTTGCGTAGAACCAGTCATCGATCTGCAGGTACTTGGACGGATTAATGCGTCAGTTCGCACATCGCCGTTGATCGTTAAAAGCGATTGAATCTCTCTACTCGTCTCTGTACAGCGTCTAGAATTAACGGACGGTGACGATCGAGGTAAGGACTCAGTTCCATTCAGGGTTTGAGTTGAAAATCGAGAAGGTCTGCTTTGCCGGTGCTCAGTTTCACTGGCTTGGAAGTGGCAGTTATACATACAGAGTTTTTTGGACTGTCCACGCAGCGCAGGTGGATTTGAAGAAACACACCGGTTTGGGTGGTGAATCGAAACTTAGTCGAGAGGAACTGGGATGTCAATAGTCTCTCTTTGTCGCTGACGAGTCCGAGAGCACCCTCCTAAGTTGGAGAAATCATGAATTACGGTACCATCTCTGGTTCTGCAGAGGCAGTCGTGAACGACGTGCGAGATAGTTGTAATACATCCGGGTGGTCCTTCCAGAGCTACCATGTCGATGATGATCGCCGAAGCTACGGGCATTCAGCACACTTGCTCACACGTGACCAAGCTCTTCGGTATGATGGCATAAAGTCGTCCACACATGAACTGAGTGCGGTATCGATCGTGATTACACCAGCGACTACGTCGTCAACGACATCGGCGGGTTGCCGTTCTCCACGTCCTCTCGCCACATTAACGTTGCCAGGACGATACCCGAAAGTTGATGCTTGGAGACCTCGATGCTTGCATGTTGCTGGACTCTAACTCACTTATTTCCATGTATCAATCGCATGATTCGCGCTCGGCCATTACTCGGGAATCGAAGTGCGTACATTTCATCAATCCACCTGAAGCGTCGAAGAGCGCGCATCCGCCCCTCGATAATGACCGTGGCGGAGGGGCGTTGCTCCGCCTAGGTACTGACAAAAATGGGGTTGATGACATTTTCCTCTCCAGCCTCGTCAAGAATGGTTGGGGGATAGATTTCTCATCTTGCCGCGAGACAGAAGCAACACCAACGTGCTCGAACGTTTTGGCAGGGAAAGCCGAGAAGCTGTCAGTAACTATTTCTAATCCTGTCTCAACGTCGAATCCTACCCAAAGAAGCGATAGAGTGAACCATGTCACCGCAGACGTTTCAGAGGCTAGCCAAGATATAAGCAGTAAGTCTTCAAGTCGCAGGGGTGGAGCGAGGCAATCGCATCAGCATTTCAGAGGTGGGCGGCAGCGCCCGTGGGGCAAATTTGCAGCTGAAATTCGTGATTCCACCAGACATGGGTCGCGGTTGTGGCTAGGAACGTTCGACACAGCTGAAGAAGCAGCACTGGCTTGCGACGACGCCGCTATCCAACTCCGTGGATCGCGTGCACTTCTCAACTTCCCAGTGCGGGCTGCCAGTGGGCTTAATGTCCGGCTTCTCACCACAAGTAGACCAAAGGCATCAAAGCCACCACCTCAATCTGCGTCAAGCGTCGAAACGCAACTTAAATTCAAAAGCAACAACTCAGGACGGCTCTGTGGAAAGAAGCGGCCACTCGATACCACTGAAATGAAGGCCGAAGAAGACTTCGGTTCTGCTGGCAATCAAGCTTGCGCTTCACTCCCAACGAAGTTAACGGATTCTTCGTACCGTATTTTCTCTCCCCCACAGTCAAGACCTCACCAAACTCGCATTTGTCAAGACATGCCCCTATCTACTTGTTCAGCTGGCCTACCTCCTAATTCTCAATAATCCAGGTCCTTGCTATTCGATCTCGTAATCAGAGTAGGGATGGTTAAGAATATTTTATGTACTGTCTACACCATTCCAGGAAATCACCACCCTTTCTTGCACAAATAGTCTTCAGCGTTGAGAAGCGTCAGGTCCGTTGTACAAATTGGTTGGATTGTCATGCCGCGAATTGTGCATGCAGGGGAGGGCTGCCTATTCTTTCCTCTTGGGTTTTGGGTTGTTGACTGTCCATCAGCTTGTAGGAAAAGGCCTTCGAAAAAATAATACATGTTCATGTTTCCGAACAGTTATATGAGGCCTTGAAGTCCGTCTTGAGAGTTGGAATCCTAAACCACTTCTGTACTTCGTGGGAGTCTCTAATTATGAAGGGTATTTGGTTTAATGCCTTGGGGCAGCTGTAAGCGATGTGACTGAGCCATCGTGTGCCCAGAACGACGCCTTTATGTCACATGACCTGGATTCTGCACTTGTTCATTATTTCAGTTAACTTGAATGCAAAACATTATTTTCTGTTACAAAGTCATCAGCCTCTGAAGATCTTTAATCCAGCTATTGATCGTTGTCCTTGAATTGTGCAGTTCTGTGGATATGTCTTCAAGAATGAACTGCTCAACTCCCTCAACGCTTTTGTTCAGTCGTTTTACAGTCGATCATAGCGATTTAACATGCCGAATATCAAGCATATAGTACATCTGGTTGATAAAATCTAGCACATCGGAAGAAACTATTCCATTTACAACCTTCCAAGTAGAGGCATTTCAAACTATTTCAGTTGTTTCACTTAAGGTCAGGATTCTGCAAGGACTTTTCATGGTCAGAGTTGCTATACCTTCAGCAAGATGTTACGTGTCCTACACATTCATGGAGTAGATTAGAAAATTTCTCAGTGTTGCATCGAATTTCATGAATAATGCAGATCTTGTTATGACAGAAGTTTTATCCGATCAGCAGATACAAGCGATTGTAGAAGCATGTTTTCAGGCTTGCAGCGAATGTCGGTGGTAGGTTTCCGTGTTTGACAATCCGTAGAACATTTCGTAAACATTTTTACACCGTGTCACATGCTCCTTTTCCCATTCCTTTGTTTTTTAATAAATGAGTTTCAAAACAAGCTCCATTAATCCAAATCTAGCAACAATGCACCGAACTCTGTAGTTCGCATTTCATTTTCACTGCTGTATGCATTCATGTATGCAAGACAGTTTCATGTTCTTGCATGATTCCGCAAATCTGAAAATTAAATACATTGTGTTCATTAACTTGATTACTAATAAACACGAGGCAAGGTTTGTGCATCCATAAAGATTTCCAGGTCAGTCATCATCGCCATGCTTGAACACCCATAAAAACTCTTTTCAGTGAGTAAATATGAGTTTAGAAACTTGTGACAGGAGAGTGTCCTTGCAAACCCTGAACTACCAGATCGACCATGACGAACCATCTCTGATTATGGCAGGACAATTGCTTCTGCAGAAGCTCATCACCCAAATGACCATAACGTCTGACCGAAACCATCTTTTTTGCAGCTAGCTGCATCTGCGAAAACATTGATGGTTTACAAGAGAATGTTGAGTACATCTTAATAAATACGCTCGATATTTTCGCCGAATTTATTCACACTGGACCATGCGGCAAAGAGCCTGGAAAAGTTTTGCATTGAGGTGTTTGTCATAGCACTCATCGCAATCCAGTTCGGATCCGGAATGTTGCTTTCAACTGCACTAATAAGATATTACAACATCACCGCTCTCAGTGTGCCAGGTTTCTTTGAAGAGGGACAGTGTAGACTAATAACACTGCCTTTTTGAGCAAAGGCACGCGCATTACTAACGACCCAGCTATGACGAAGCTACCAACATGCCACTCTGTGTAGGCGAGCATCGAATGATGAGGACACCAACAGTTCATTCTGTGTAAACAAGTCTAGATCGACACCTTTAGAGTCAACACTTCACTCGTAGATTTTAACATAGGTTCTTACCAAGAATTTCAGGCATCAGTGGACTCCACGTGCGCCATCCTCTCGATCCTCGTTTTGGCTGCAACCACAAATTTTAACTGCCACTTCTAAATCTTGATTCAGGACTTTTCAAAATTGCATCAATGCTCTGGAGAGTTTTGAAAATACTTGGATTCGTAATGAGAAACTAATGTTGAAGTGATCACGAACAGATATCGCAGAATTTGATCACATACCTTGTGAACTTCGGAACTAAGTGCAATCTAGGCATGGTACAGATGTTTTGATTCTGGTGCTTTCACGCTTGTTTTGCGATCTCGGAGAATGAACCTCGACAACATCTTCCTCAGAGCTCGGCGCATTTTGACCTGTAAAACAGTCCAATTCAAAGTAAGCATTGCATTACTACAACGTGGTTTACAACAATTCACTTCTACAACAGAGCGCTGAACCTTAACCATGTCAAATTCAGAATCCGACAATGCACACTGAATTGCGAAATCGGTAAGCAGGAACACATACGTATATTCCAACTCGCACGCGAGCTTTCATTCGACGCCGTCGACACATTTTTCTGGTCCTTCGGACTGAAGCCTCCCTCTCTAAGTCCTCGAAAAGAAGTTCATGAACTGGTGACAACCTCTCCGGTGGGGCAGAGCAAGACGGATATGGGTTCCTCAAATTCTCTCGTCGAAGTACTGTGGTGATTGAAACAGGGAGACAACTTGCTTCGACGTGGCTATAATCAGCCCTGGAGATCGAGTGGAGACTCAAATCATTGCCCAGACGAGCAGAGAAGCCGGTATGTGCACCATGCTCATAGAGCTTTTCTCTGCTGGGCGAAAGTACCTCAGGGCTACAATTCTTCCTTTGGCTGGAATGTGTTTTCGACTTCACCCATCGCTTTCCGTTCCTGCAGAACTTCCCAAACGCACTTATGCTACGTGGTTTATCTGCCTCCTGCCGGATGTCCGCGCTCAAGTACTTCCGCATAGAATCGAATTCTTGGTTGTAGGATAAGCTGTTGCAACGAGTATTCACATGGAGAGGAGAAGTGGGACTGGATTTGGGGCTCATAATCTCTTCACAGATCACATTTGGAGATATAGGTTTAAAAGAATCAAATGATAAGTAGGAAAGTGTCCTCGAATGAGATAAAGATGGGACTAACGGTCCAGAAACCAGAAAGGCTTCGTACTCTGATATTAGAGATGGATTAGACGATGGCAGACTGAGTCCATCATCCGGACCATATAAAATGCTAGTTGGAGATTTAGGCTTAACATTGCCAGAATGATGGTCGACACATTCCTTTGGATTCCACGCTGCGCGAGAAGGTGACGGAATGTGAGGGACGCTTTGACATGGGACCGGTGAAGTTGCAGAACCTGAATCAACTCCCTGAGACTTCCCACAATCTTTTTCCCACTGGAACGGGATAGGTCCCAATGCCTTGGTGGGAGTACTGGTTACAGGTGAATCACATATTTCCGGAAACCTTGAAGTGACAGCTTCGGGAAAGTGCGAGGTCCCAGTTCGAGCTTGCAGTTCACTTGCTTGGACGGCATACTCATTGAGCATAGCCTCATCTCTGGAAGATAACCTCTCTACACCAGGAAATACCATTGAATGAGAACCTGCATTCGTACTAATCTCCTTCGTAGATCGTCTCGACAATGATCTTTCCACACCTGCAGCGATGGTTTGCGGTGCACTGATTTTGTCCTTCACATTGCACAATTTTATTACAGAAGCAGCCGTCGCCGACATTTCATTAGAAATTCCGGCTTCGACAACTTCCGGATCGCTTGACAAGATCTCCGTCTCAATAGGTAGTTGCACGCAAGATTCCCCGACATTGCTCCCATTCTTTCGCAGTCTGTCCTCATGATATGTGGCCCTCCAGAGTGAGCGCTCCTCTTTGTCGTTGGATTGGATCTTTAGATTCAAACCCACCATCCTTGGAGCAGATGAAGACTTGTCGGATTGACTCTCGCAACAGTCTTCACGGCGAAAAGGAGTAAGCTCTGAGTTGAGACTTGAGAGGGTCTCCATTTCGATGTTTCTATCAAATCCCTTACTGTGGCGTGATTTCGGCGAACTGAGCATGATCGTCTCATTGTCCTTCATGGATGAAGAGCTCATAATCTTGAAATCCCGCCATGGTGACCGCCCGCCCGCTTTCTTGCGCTCTACTGAAGAGCGGGGAGGGTCGACAAGCGTTGCAACTGCTTTGGGATGATTTGGCGAGATCCGTCCCCATGCATGAGATAGGCTCTCGATTTTCTTCACTGCATTCGAGACCGATCCTCGCCACGGTGACTGTGATTCCGCAGGTGGCTTCTGCCAAGCCAAGTTGGCCGACATCTTTTCCGACTGCTCCTCCCAAAGCGCAAGAACTTCACTGTCATCTGACCGGAAACTACAATCCACAAACCCGAAATTGGCCGTCACAAGATCACTTCTCTTCTGCAAGGTCGACCACTTGGCATACTTGAGCTCCCCAGGCTCAACACCAGGGCGACATGTGCCATGTCTAAGGCAAGCTGGATTCCAGACGCGCGCCTCATCAAACTTCAAGTCCATGGTATTCGAAACATAACAAGCATCTGCTGATACCACTTCTGTGTACGCATCACACAAATTCAAACTATAAGAATCCCGCGAATCTTTACTGCCGCCGCAACCAGATGTCTCTAAACACATGTCCAAGGATGGAGTTGTTGGAGATGGCGCCTGAGCGAGGCGATCTTCCATTGTGGGTATCAACTGTGTTGTTGAACTACGCCACTTACTCACGCATATCCACAACGCCCTGCACAAGCCGCTGAACTAAACACCACAAGCACCGAGAGAAAGAAACGAGGAATCGGAGACATGCATCAATCAAATGCGACTCCACATCTGCTTCCAGGGGGCATCGAGCCAGAACCTAAGATACTAAAGCGTATCGAATGCAGCTCAGTATACCCGAAGACCAATGATCACGTATCAAACGCAAAACGGGAATCACCTAAACCCCTTCTCAGTCACATTCACGTAAGCCCATGCTAGTACTGCCGTCAACGCTATCATCACAACATGAAACCTCTAATTCCTCGTTCCAACTTCTCATTACTAAATTGACCACCAAAAACACAACCCACACTAACCGATGGCTTAGTGAAACACATCATCCAGAGAGGAAGAGGTAGACAAAGCTCGAAAGAATCTCGGTGGCTGGGCAAAAAATAAAGTTTTAAAGTGCTGGGAAAGACAGGTGACGGTCTTCACTTCACTGTACTCTCTCTTCTTTTCTATCCTAGATTTCATAATTTCTCGGCCTCCTTTATGAAGAAGCCAGTCACCAAGCTCACAAGTAACTGTTCAAAGCCAACACTGCTCAACACATGCCCTACTCCTACAGAGCCATGAAAGACTTGTGTGCTCCGGCAACTTTCCCATCGTCCCTTGAATGCCTTCACTGTAACGCAAGCATTGAGCTTAACCGTCTTGGCAGGAAGGTTTTTCTTTTTGGCTGTATCTAGCATTGAAGTCGGAAGGCTGTAGTGGCATGCTCCTGAGCAGCTTCTTGTAAAGCATAAAACGGCTTTCCAAGCTCCTTATTCACACTCAGAAGTTGGATCATATCATATAAAATGTTATGACGACCCGGAATAAAGGTGCCAAATTGGCATAATCATCCCCATCACGCACATTTTTTTTGGTTCTGTAGTCATAATCCCATGCATTAAATGGCACCATACTCTTAATTAAAAGGATGCCATTTCGGGATAGTTCCGCCTCCACCGCGCAGGGTACTTTTTTTTCTTTTTTTCAGGGTTTTCTTTTCGACTTACGTTTTCGTTTTAGATTCTGTGTTTCAATTTATTTATTTTTGTATTGTATTACAAGGAAGGAGAACTACTTACTGGCTAAAAGAATATCATCAGGCAGCAGAAATCATTACTGTAGATGGACTAAGATATAACAATATCATTGCAGATACTGCGGAAATATAAAACGTTATTATCTGAATTTCATCTGTAGTTCTCTAAATTCTGATTTTTGCTAAACATTTCCAAAAAATTGCAAAATTTAACATGCTGGTTGGAACATATTTGGAAAAATCACGAATAGAAACATTTCAAAAATTATCCTACCAAATATCAGGTAGAACTTAGTCAATCAAGGAATTGACTGAAGTTAATAGTCACTCTTTATCGGTTAGGATTCAGTTTTTGTCAGTTAGAATTCAGCCAATCAGAGAATATTGACAACAGACACAAGTGTTACATATATCTACATATATAATAGGCATTTTATGATTTATTTATCCGTCCATTTGGAACTTGACAAAAAAAGAAGAAAATCAACATACTGCACCACCACCCTCAGCATGAGCAGGGAGCTGTGTATTGCTGAGTGTAACAACCCTAATGGATTTGTGTGCATTGATGGGTATGGTTTCATCCATTTTACTGTGGTGTTTTCAACTGCTTGGAAGGGTTGAATGATAGTATAACCCTAAAAAGAGAGCGAGAGGGTGATGAGAGGAGGGGAAAGGGAAAAGCAGGAGAACCACTCATTTTGGGTCTGTGCTTTGTATGAACGCATTGAATTTTGCATTGAATTTTGCATTGAGATGGGTTAACCACAACTTGTTTGGATTCCCGTCCCCACCCAACCAATTGAGATAAATAAAGCCCCATTTCCCAATCTCATGGACCTAGATAATCACTCTTTCCACTTGAGGCTAGCAATTGGAATAAATTTTTTGTGATGTGTGAATCTGCATGCACATTGTACTCCAACAATTAAGACATAAATATGCTTTTGCATGGTTTAGTAACGGAGAAGTACCCAACTTAGAAGAAAAATTTGAAGAAGGTAGTGTATTCACAATAAGCTCGTAAACTGTTGCTTAGACAAGTTTTGTGTGGTGGTGTTAATTAGGTCAGTCCAAGCACTTTCCATTCAATGGTGTTGGTCAAGATAGAAAATTTGATTCCTTTAACGAATCTATAAATAGCCCCAACAATCACAATAATGGGTGTTTGATTGGTGTTGTCTGCATATGTAAAAACATGTGAAGCAGAGTGATTGAGAATGGTTCGGAAGGTGCGCTTTTTTTTAATTAAATAGATAAAACTGAACAACGACGTTAATTTGACTTTTGCGAATAGTAATGAAAAGTGTTCACGAGAGATCGCAGAAGAATCGACTCCAAAAAAATGAAGTTCTAAGTGATGGGAAGGACGAGCCGCTTTTACTATTCCAAAACCATCGACTAAATTCCAAGTTGCAAATGCGTGAAGCTCGAGAATAGCAAAGTCAATGTCCACCCCCATTGACTCCTCCTCCGACACTAAAACAAGGGGCTCCAAACGGAGCAACTTACTCAAAAGAGGATATATCACCACTGCCCATTTATCCTTTAGGACAAAGAGAGGAGCCGAAAGGGAGATCCCTCCAGCTGTGTAGCTAGCTGGATTTCACTCCCCACCTCGTTTCGCATTCAAGACTCTTTTCTGCATGAAATATTATTTTTTTAATTTTTTTTAATTTTTCGTGTGTTTTTTGTTTCCCTCCACGAGAATTGTCCGAAATATACGATCGTGTCCTGTGTACGGACTGGGAGTTGCAAGAAGGATTGATAGAGAGATCACGCACTGAACGAAGGGGTTTTACTTGAGTCTGGGTCCGTTTTTCTGCAGTGCCGTGCTGCGTGCGGCACTGTTCCATCCCTCCATCCCACCATTGGCAAGAAGACCAGAGGAGGCATCGTGAACGTGTGTGCGACGGAACGGATTCTCTGACTAGCGGCGTCGGTCTTTCCAATGCTCTGCAGTGTAGGTTAACAACTTTCCATCCTGCTCTGCCTTTCCTTCGTTTCCCGAAAGAAATCAGCGCCTGGGTGCTATGACTGCCGCTGCTGCTGCTCGTCCTCGTCCTCGTCCTCCACCACTTCGCTTCTCTCACGTGAGGGGAGGCGTCCGTGTCGGCCACCTCTTATGCGCACCAAGCAGAGTGAGGAGCCTGCACCATGTCCATTTCGCCCCATCAGGTTGCAAACTTCGAGAATTTCCCGCAGAAAATGCCAGCATGATGGCTGCTAACTCCTCCTCTGTTGTTAGTGTGCACCTCTTCTATCTAATTCAAGGGCTTGAGAATGTTGGATGTTCTAATTTAAGGGTTTGAGAATGTTGGATGTTGAGTTTGCAGTAATGAAATCCTTGAACTGCAAATCTATAGAGTACCCAAAAAAGAATTTGTTCATTTGCCTCAATTTCTGAATACTATTATCAAAATAATCAACTGCTATCGTTGAAAATGTTTTTACCACTTCACTATTCCAAAACCCAAATTACTGGATGAGGTCCATTAATTTCTAAATTAATGTATAATCCAATTTTCAGAAAACACACGTTCAATTAAAAAGAAGCTCCAATGGGGAACACAACCCTTCCCGTATCAAAAGTGAGCCATATTGATTGATACCAGATGACAATTGCACAATTTAAAACATGCTGTACACTTTTCGTACAATATAAACATGATTAATATGTTGAAGTCCAAAGTTAGTTGATTAGTAAACAAAACAATAGTGCAACAACTTTACAACTCGGTTATTACAATGTCACCACCAATGTTACAAAAATGAATAAAATAATAAGTGGTCACCACACAAACACACATATCAGTATTTCTCTTCGACTTAATGTCAACATTAACCCAGCGAAACAATCTGTTCATTGTGCAGAAAGGCACGACTCAAAGCTCAACAAACATCATCAACGTGGAAGCTTAAACACCATCCCCTCCCTCCCTCTCCAACGTTCTGCACGGCAGCGCTCATGTCAACGGATGCGACGCGGTGATGAGTGCCGATAAGTGAGCACCGGAGACCACCCATGTAGTAGTACTGGGGTTAGCACGCACCACGAAATGGAGTCCACCACAGGGAAGCGGAATTCTTCACAATGGGGACGAAAAAAGCCAAATGCCATGCACATGAATTCCACCACCGTCACGTCTCGTCTCGTCTCGTCTCGTCTGCAGGATGCTTGTGTCATGAACAATGCATTTCCACCTCCCCGATCGTCACAACCAGCCCTTCATCTGCCCTCCCTTCGTGCCATCCATTGGATTGTGCGAAGCTGACCTGCCTGAATTCCAAAACCCACCACAACCACGTCCATGTTGACTTGCGTGCTCGGGGCTGTCACAGATTCTCAAATCCTTTCACCGCCTGTAGCTGCGTTTCACTGAAGCCCCTGCACTCCTCGGTTCGTGGCAATCCAACACTCTCATCGTCGTGCGAAACTAGACCTCGTCTGTTTGTTTTTTTGAATATTTTTTTGTTTATTGTTTTTTTGTCAGTGTACAGGCGCGGCTCCCCTTAGATGCCTGCTTGGTCCCCCCTGGGAGCATCCGCCACGAGTTTTCTTCTCCGGTCTTGGGCGACCAGGAGTCAGTGGATGGGCTGCTCGCCTAGAAGCAATGGCAACAGTCAGAGCTGGACTTACATCCTCCCCCGCGAACTGTCATGGTTGCAGAATACTGACCACTAGCTCCACACCACGCGGGCAACGAACCCTTCTGACTTGGTTGGGTGCCCCACCTCCAACACGAAATGATGATCTGCTGTGGATGCTCGAATGACGAGAGCAGAAATGCAGAAATGTGTGGGTTTTGCATCGCCAAGTTCTGCTTGGATTTTGGTTTGCTTGAGTCTGCTTTGGTACAGAATGCTCACTGTGACGACCCAACTTCGTTCATTCCTTATCCACTTTAGTTCCTAACTTTCGTCCCCCGCCCCCCCGCTCTACTTTGGTTCTATTTTTCACTTTTCAGGTGTTTATCCGAAAGTCTGATCGAGCCAAGGCATCTTCTTCATCGTCTTCTGGGGAGTTCCCCTAAGTTTCCATGGGTTACAATTCGAGGACAAGAATTTTCCATGATTCAAAGGATTAACATGTCTGTTGAGGAGCCCCACGGTTTGACACAATCATCATTCAACCCCAGGGCACAACGTCAGCGGGACATGTGACGAGGAAAGCCTCGCAAATCCCACAGCACAGCAGCAGCAGCAGCAGATCCTCTTGCACAACACATGGCTTCATGCAGGCTCTCAGTTTCATTGATATGATTTACACATTGCTTAGAATGGGTGGATGAATCATCCCACTGCTCCTACTGCGTTACACCTTGTGCTGAGTCCATAAATATCAAAAAATCCTTTCGGAGGTTTTGACTACTGACAGACACGTCTTAGGAAGTGCCACTTTCCACAAGGATCTTCAATGCTCCAGAATTTAAGAGGTCCGAGAATGGCATAAACTCGGCCTGCAGCTGCACGCGTTGTCGAGTTCAGATGTGGTAGGAGAGGAATTGCTGAGCAACTCCTTTGTTGCTTTCGACTCCTCCATCCCCAACAACATCATGGGGGTGACGAATCCACCGCCTCTGTCAAGGGCTGCACAGGAGTTTCTTCACGAGGCTTCGAACGCCGTCAGCATCAACAGTCATTCCGACATCAATGAGGGGTACGCCAGTCCAGTGGTTCTTCCCCACCCAACTGCTAAGCATAGGCAAACACACATCCCGGAGTGAGGTTCCTCAGATGTTAACTTCAAACTCCAACGTTTGATTTGCACACATCACTGGAAGGACGAATTGCGCTGGAGGGATAAATGCGCTTTTCATGACATCTTTAATTACATGAACAAGCTACGTTGGCAGCAAAGACAGGAGAGCCGAGTCAGAGTCACATAGGTTGTGCATATCGACGTACTTTTTCAGTCCCATATCAAGGAGAGTATAGCCCACGCAAAGCCCTTCAGTTTCAACTCGCACTGCTCCCTTTCTGTAAGTGAAAAGAGAGGGGTCGAGCAGTGCTGCCATACATGTAGGATCGTGTAAGAAGATTCCTGTAATATGAGTGAGAAATTAAGTTAGGTTCACATTTGTATCCAGCGTTTATCGGCAACTCGCTATTCACCTAAAAGCGAAGGATGGGAAGAGCATACAGTGAAGATTTGGGTAAAAATTTAAACACGAATTTCTCAGCATGGCACCATGAACATGCTTCCAAGTATGGAGCTTCAAGATGCAAAAAACTAAAACACAAATTTAGGAAGGAAAGTGTTCTTTCGTGCTTAAGCGGAACAAAAGGAAGGCATACCGTCAAAATGATCAGACTCTAAATGAAAGTCGTGATAAAAACGACAACAATCGTAGATATATTTTCCGTATTTTCCGCCTGAATCTCTTATTTCACTCAAGTCTTGATCTGCAGGTGGCCACAGAAAATGAAATAAAACAAAACAGAGCTGCTTTGCGAACTAGATTCTCTAAAATTTGCAAAGCTGTCTGCCTCAAAAGCAAATGAAACGAGTAAAGCAAGACACCTAGCTGGACCAGAGGAGAGAGACAGCGAGTTTACCATTAAAAATCACCTGAGTGGTCAGGCTTATGCCTATTACAAGAGTATCCATACCACTAGTAAACACAAGATCTGCAGCTTCCGGGTCACCAAATATCTGCCATCCAGCTACGTGTAAGCATCCAAGATGACCAACATAAAGAATATTTCCATTGGCAGAGAGTATTAAGTTTTAAATAATTGATCCGCATAAATGGTGAAGACCTCACAGAGACCAAAAATCACACCAATATGTGTAATGGAGCTTAAACACCATTCAACCTACGGTTCTGGAATAAGGCTTATGTCATTCGAACTTACATTGGCCTCTGCAGCGGGATTCACATTTCCACTTGCATTGAACGCACCCCCAAGGACAACCAATTGCCCAATGTTCTTGACAAAGTTTGGATCCTTTTGGATGGCCTGTAAAAGATACCCATGAGATCTTAGTGTTTGAAAAAGTGACGAGCTACAACCCGATCAACAAGCAGCTGTAACGAACTCTAAATCCCACGTTTTTAGAACACCAATAATCTCAAATGCAATGTCTTACATCTAAGAGCAAACGTGTAAAGCAAAAAAAAAGAAAAAAAAAAGAAAAAAAGAAAAGAAAAGACAAAAACTAACCAGTGCAATATTGGTGAGGGGACCTAGAGCAACTACAGTTACTTCGCCTGGAAACTCTGCTACTTTCTCCAGAAGAAAGTCTGCGGCACTCTTGGATGACTTTTGGCCTTTGGGATTGGCTTGGAATGTATTCCCAAGGCCATCCGAACCATGCACAAAATACGCAATTCGAGGTTTGACCCGCTGTTCAAGAATCAAAATGCGGTGAGTTCAATGTTAGTAGGAATAAATGCGTGTTTATCGAGTTAGCAATCATGTAGTCAAAGGTTGTATTTTGCACAGGAAAAACAACTCAAGAAAGTCGCCAATACGGTTGAAATCAAGATTTCTAAATACTATGACGTGACAAATCGACTTGTGTATATGTCACGTCATAATTTGAACATGACGGTACTCTGCATCTAGTGGGATTGAGATAGAGTAATATTGCCTTGAAAGCATCCTTTGATTTGTACTTGAGCAATACAGAACGGAAAACAAACCCTCGATAAGAACTGCTGATAGAAGCAAAGACAAGAACTCGAAACTTACATTTTCTTAATCATCTTAAACAGCAAGGCGGCTCTAAAATGTCCATGAAATACAAGTTCACAACAATATTGGAAATGGGAATGGAAATGGTAAAAGGAATCATGCGAAAACCTTCAACGGTTCAGAGGGTCCTTCCGCAACTGGTATCTCTGGATGACCTGTCATCTCACACTACGAACGCAAACTTGTTGTCAGCTTTAGAAAAGAAATTTGCGAGGTAGTTGGCATAGCCTACGGAAAGCCTGATTCCAGGTCTTCCTTAGATAAACTTGAGAATTCTAGATTTTCAAAGCTGAATGTGCAAGGGAAGTTATAAGCAAAAGCATTGATTTTAGAACCAAATGTACGAGGCAACACTCATTCTGGATACGAAAAAAACAAACGACTATACCATCATCGTAACGTCTCCCTAGGACCAAAGACAAAGCAGAAAAAGGTAAAGAGAGAGACAGAGAGAGGAAATCAAAAAAAAAAAAAAAAAAAAAAAAAAAAAAAAATCACCAGATGGAGAGCATTCTTAGTGGCCAAATCGATATCTACATTCCCAAAAATGGTGGTAAGTCCTATCACTTCAATACCAGGAGCTTCAAAAGCCATAAAAATTGCCATCATGTCATCTGCACATCAGAACATTTCTATGTCATACACCAAAATACTTCTATGTCATACATCAAAATTCTGCAAGCATATTTTCTCAACCAAAAATTCCTGCAATGAAACAGCGAACACATTAATCACTGGCTAAATCTATGTCTGCAGCACGTCCTGTCCGTTACTATAACGCAACCACAACGTTGGACCCAACACCATCTGAAAACTCAGATGTCGATCTCTACAGCATAATGTAGCAGCAGGTGGTAAAGTTCCTAATATAATCAAAAGCAGCAGTACGTCTTGCACAACCATCAGAAATCTCTACTTGTCATCTTTCAGACTTCGTATCTACATTATATATCCTGAGAAGACTAAGTGCAGGATACATAACCTGAATTTTTTTTCAAGATCATAAACGTTTCATGCAGTCAGAAGCACATGAATTAATCCTACATTTCACTAACGGTCAACTTTTTTACAAAATAATTTCGCGCTGACGGTGCTAGCGCGATAGAGATCTTAGGGACTATTCACAAGGTCCACAATATGAGTATGTAGAGTCTGTGTAATGATTTTCACCCTTCACTAAAGGTTAAAAGTGCTAATTCTCCAACCCAACTCATTGATCAGATGGGTGAAGTGACACACCAAGTATGCTCACTTAAAAGACCAAAACGGTATAAGATAATCTACCATGGAAGAGAAATTGAAGCTAGATACGGAGATTGACAGAAACCAGTTGACGGGGACCCAAAATCCCGTCGAAAAACGCAGAAGGATAAAGCACTATCATCTCGCCTTGCCAAAATGACTACTCAAAACAATCCATGGGAGATACAAAATTGCAACTATTTTAGTAAAGCAATTCGTACCCCTGAATACCCCTCCCAAAGCTAGACGAAAGAACCAATGGCAAGCATATCATTCAGGAGATCCGAAAAACGGATAACATTCAGTTTTCGACAAAAACGAAATTACAGAGCCACACTCTCGTAACCCCTCCAGCGGCAGCATTGTGGGAGAGAATTACAGAAAACAGAGAAACCGCATGCTGCCAGCTTTAGCGAGAATACAATATTTACCCAATCGCTCTAACCGGCACATAGAAAAATGAACGCAAACCCAACAAATTATACGTCCCCTCAAGGCGGCAGTGCACCCGAAGATTTAGATAACAAAACGACGCACCTAGAGCGAGTATTAAGGAAAATCACTCTTGAAGGGCACATCCTTGAGACTATAATCGATCTTATCTGGATCGGCAGAAGCTGCTCAACAAACAAGACGCACACTCTTCACGAACTGAATCACACGACGCCGGGAAAGAAAAACCACAATGAACACCATGGACACCCGCACGAGGAACGACGACGACTCACCATTTGGGATTCAAAACCTCAACCAAGCAACAAAACCACGGCTGTATGCTCCGAACCAATAATTCTGTTATGTCCATATGATGGTGCAATCACGTACCAATCCCGGGATCCGTGTCGATAATGACTCTCTTCCGAGCTGGATTCTTGGATACCTCAACATACTCCGCCATCAAATCCGCACTCCTGTCCATCGTCTCCTCTCCCACCATCGCCTCCTCCCCCGCCCTCTTCAACTCACAACCTTCTGAAAGATCTCAACCCTTGGAAGAAATTAAAACCAACACAAGTGCCGCAAAATCTAAAGCTCCGCCACTCTCTTCGCCTCCCTTCACCACCGAGAATGTGTAATCCGCTGCCTCCGTTGCCTCCGCCGCTCTGCAGCAATTCCACCACCACGAGCGAGCATCAAAAGAAACAATCCATTCCTGCATCGCCCTTCTTCCATCAAAACGCCGGAAAACAGAGAAAAACGAAAGCTCCCTCCGAAGCATATCCGGCCATCCATCCGATGAACATAGAATATCCTCATCCAAGTTTCTGAAAGGGCTGGTTTATCAGCCCCCGGACCAGAAAAGGTTTCATTCGTTAACTGCCAGTTCGATTCCCTCGACGGAGTTTTCACATGACACGGGATGTCTTGTGGTTTGCGAAGATGAACGACGCTTTTGCTTGGAATCTGTGACGGAATATGTCGAACTGTCCACGTAGGCCACGGTCCTCGTGGTGTGGTTGAAGGGAGGATGTTATAATTTTATTTTATTTATTTCTCAGTGCTTCTAGTTTGAGCTCCAACACATTAATACTTTAAATCTCTAAAACTTAATCATCTGTAAAGAATTGTTTTACAGATGTTGAAGTAAATACTATATATTATTTTTTATTTTATTTTATTTTTGTGAATAAATATGAAAAATTATATTGTTAAGATAGAAGCTTAATTATGTGAATATATTATTTGTGCAAAAACTCTAATACATTACAATATTAGAATATATATATATATATATGTATTTCTAATAGCAATAGTGAAATGTACAAGTTAAAAGATAGATGAAATAGATTTTTGAACTCAAAGAGCTGCAACCTAAAAGCATGCATGTAATTAGACTTCTGTAAATTAGCAAAGGAAGTTACACATGCTTATGATTTAATATTTTTGTATTTTCAAGGCCTTATAGTCAACTTAAACTTTTCCAATAAAAGATTGGTGCTTCTACCTTATTATCTTGGCTTTTACAATAATTTAGAGGATCTAGCACGTGCCATAGTTTTGGTAGAAAGAATTAAATTTTAATATTAATAAAGGTTGAATAAACTATTAAAAAGATGCTAGAATGGCTATTGCAATGTTTGAATAAAAAACCTTTAAATAATAATAATATTTTTTTTTCCAATGAATCCTTATGCTATATAGATTATAATTCCAGAACCATTTAGAGATTTAGAAATGATTATGTTTTTCTATTCTTAACATTTACTCTACATGCATCACATAAGTAGTTAATATTGCAATGCAATATACATATCAATTTAGATTGGATTATATCTTTCAGACACAAAAATTAGTAAGTGTAATATTTATAAGATGGAATTTCTTAGTGGAGAATCACACTCTAATTTTATTGTGGTTGATTAGCTTTTTTATCAAACTTATATACCTTTAAGTTTACTTTGTAATTGTTGTTAAAAGTATGGTTAACAACTTAACCAAAGTAGTTTCTATTTAAAGCAAGAATTATATTACACACAAATTATATGTTGTCTTTTAGTTTTTTGTAAAGATTCAAACCAATTGTTTAATCTGCAAAAAAATCTCTTTCTATATATTACATAATTTTTTTTTTACTTGTATCATATTTTTTTTATTTAACCAAAATTGTAATTACTTCATAAATTATTAATTTAAAGATTTAAAATTCTCAAAATTATTTTTTGATATTAAATTTCATAAAAAGGTAAATTTATTGTATAATTACGATAAATTGTCTTTGATAATTAATATATAATTGTAGGGATATATTGTATTCTTTTTAATAAAAACAATACTATGGTCTTTAATCTCATTATTCATAAATAGCTAAAAATAAAAATAAAATATTGTATCTAATAAATAACAAAATAAACTAAAGTGTAAGTATAAAATTAAATAAAATATGATTTTGATAAATATACTTATGTATCAAATAAAATTACAAATTAAGTTAATTTCATATTAATTAATTATTTATAAGTATAAAAAAGATAAAACACAAACACAATATTATAAAATTAAAAAATTGAATTTATAGAACTGATTATTTTATTTTAGATAAAAATTATACTTTTATCTTATATATTTTGAGATTACACTTTTTATAAGATCATTAATTTGATTATAAAATATCATAAAATATTTCATAAATAAATTATAATTATATTTTTAAAATTAAATTTTGTCATACAAAATAAATATGTAGAATAAAAATTTATACATAGAACTAAGTTTTAAGTAGAAAACAACAAAAAAATCTTAAAAAACTATAAATTTTTCTTACTATTTATTTATTTATTTATTTATTATTTTTAATTAATTAATATAAAAATAATATTAACTTATAATTTAATATTTTACTTAAATAATTACAAATAAAAGAATCTAAAGATTAGAACATAAGGTATTTGAAATAATTAAAAAAAAAGTATATTTTTTTAATTTAATCAAATTCATTTGGCATGTTATTTTTTTGATAACTTTTAGCAAAAATAATCTAATGACTTAACTTGAATTTATTTTCGTAATTTACCAAAAAATATCTTTAAAAATTTTTAATTGAAGAACATCAAAGAAAAAATTGTTTATAAATTTTTAAAATTTTCAAAAATATATTTTCATTGTATGTTATAATAAATCAAAGATAATTTAAAGTAATTAAAAAACCTGATTGAAAATAGATTAAAACTAAGTTAATACAACTTTTAAATATTTAAATGGAATATATATATATATATGAAAAAATATTATGATTTCTTAAAAAATATGATATAAATATTTTGTAAATATTCAATAAAATATAATATTTTATTTTAAATAGATTTCTTTAAAATAAAATATCAACTTTAAGATATGACATAAGTATAATATGTAATATGTTTCAAAAATTATAAATTATAAATTTTAAAGATAAATATTTCTTAAAGATTCTATAAAATCTCTAATTTTAATTATTTTTTTATATTTTTTTTACAAAATTCATATGGACTTCAATGGATGTATGTGTTATGAAAAAGATTTATAAGAAAAATCATTTTTTTGAGTTGACCATCTAAATTACTATGGTACTTATTTCATTTCTTTATGTTGAGAATTTTGACTTAGAATGGTTTAAACTTGAAAAATTCAAGATGAATGAGTTTTAGTTTATATTTTTTTTTAAGATCAAAGATGACAAATTAATTTTCATGCAATTTTTTATTTCCAAGCCTATTAGAAAGATTCCACATCATTGATTATATACCAATTGATGGCACCATTTGATATCTTCATTGAACAAATAAAATATCATCTAATAGATAGATGATAATTTTTAGACTTTTTAACTATAGTAGAAAATCATTCATCCAAAATATGGATAGTATCTTCAAAAACATAGCCTACTTAAGAATCATCCTTTGTAGTGAGCATTTACATTGACATCAAGTGACAAAATATATCTTCATTTTTTCTATTCAAGTCAAAAAGCCTATAAAGACATTTGATGCTAAAAGAACTATATTCACTTAAATTTAGTGAAGAGTAAATATAAAAAAAAATTATAGTAGATTTATGAAATTTCTATTTAACTTGTTATTTACAAAAAAAAATTATTTGATGAAAAATTTATAGAAGTTGTACTTTAAAATCTCCAATCTATTTTTTTAAATTTCTAAAAAAATATAATCAATAAAATTAGAGGCAAGTTGTCAAATATGGTAGATTTAGAAGCTATATTTTTACAAAAAGATGTATGCTCCTCCTCAATTTAAAAAAAAATAGATAAGGTTTTCATGACTTACTTCAACTTCTAATGCCATAATTTCAAACCTTAACAATATGGCAATAGATACTATCAATAACATCCATTACATGTCATAAATATACATATTTATTCTAATAATTACCTAGATAATATGAATAGATAGAAGTAGATTAAAGTAATTAATTTGATCATATCTTGTAAAAAAACTTCTTAGAAGCTTCATAGATATCATTTTGACTTTATATGTATTTGTAATTGAAACTTAGCTAAAAAGTTAGCCACATGTTGTACTTGTTGTTAGCTTGTGGTACAAACTTACTATATGGCATACATATAAAAAACTTGCCTTACAAGTTAAGTCACATGTCTTGTAAGTTGAATATGTATTGGAGGTTTTATAGAACGTTGTCATATAATAATACAAATATATGGTGAAAAATAAAAACATAACTGTTTTTATAAAAGAACTTAATAGAAAGATGTAAAAAAGCAAGGATAAATGATAGGAAGGAAATAAAAAAGTTTAGTCTTAATACTACTTTTTTAAAAAGAGGCTTCTATTTACTTTATAGGGACAAAAATTCCTCAAATTAAAATAAATGAGATAAGTGATTAATATAGATATATTTAGAAAGAAATTATTAATAGGTTCAAGTAAAAAATATCTCAAATTACCAAATATTGATATCCAAAGAGTACCAATTGTCAACCTAGGTTGAAATCAGACCTTGAGGCATAAAACCATATACCTATGGCAACTCTTAGGTTCTTTGGTAGATTAAAGAGTAGGATTTAAGAAAAACTAGAAAAAATATTTTTGAGCATTGATTATATATTAGTCAAGTTGATATTCAATTTTTGGGAGATTTTCAAAATTAATAATGTTCTTGGTTGGATTGGATTTAAAAAATTAAATTTATGTTTACAAAATTGAGGATTTCTTAAGTTTTGTGGTGTATTTGCAAGTGAATTTTGGGCAATGTATTGGTGCTTTGGTTGTTAGTATGTATGCAAATTTTGGAGTCAATAAAATTATTAGATCAAAGTGTCTGAAGGTTTTTGTAGGTTGAGGTTTTAGAAATTGGAATCTATAAATCAGTGAATAATTTTAAGATCTTTAGTAATCTGTTAATTGGATTGAAGTGATTTTTTTTTTGTATAAAGAATAGACTTGATTTCCAAAAATTCAAGTATATTTTGGAGGCAATTCAATAGTACAAGAAAGAAATTTTGGCATTGGAATTTCAACATTTAGATTAGAATAGGAGGCTGACTAATATCCAAGCAGAGTTTAGATTTGATCTTCTATTTGGTAAATTCGATCTTCTTCAAATTTTATATATTTATTTCCAACTTAATTTTTGAGAAGTGTATAAATTCTTAAATAAAATCAATAATATAATTGATAGATATTGATGTTTTCAACTACCCTAGGATAAGATTTATTTGATTAAGATTTGATTTAGAGTTTAA